GAAGTTCTATAAACTTGGAATCATTTGCGGCATTCTACACCAGGAATATCTGAAAATGCGTGTAAAAAAGGTGAACATTTTTAAAGTCATTAAACTTGAAATCTTTAATTAAATTGAAACTTTTTTTTTGATTTACAAAAATTTGATATTTCATTTACGCCCTATCGTGGCTTGATTATTAAAAAATAGTATATTATCTGGAAGGATTAGACACTTGAAAAAAATAATATTAAAAGGACGAGGATTTCGATGTGTCTCGGACGAGAAAATGAGGAGAAAGTGGCTCGGACGAGAAATTGTTGTGGTTGGCCTTCCTCTCCTCTCACAGTAGAAGAGACGTTTTATCTGCAATTGCAATGACTAAGATTAGAAATATTTGAATATGAATTAAATTCCACTTATTCTTCAAATTATTTTCTTTCCTTGTAAATGAATTGAGTTTTTGCGAAAAAATCTAATTTTCTAATCTCTATATCTTCGCAACCCAATGGTTTTTAATCCCTTAGTTTAAAAATCCCTTGGTTTAAAAATCCCTTGGGTTAAAAATCCCTTGGGTTAAAAATCCCCTGGTTTGAAAATCCTTTGGTTTAAAAATCCCTTGGTTTAAAAATCCCTTGGTTTGAAAATCCTTTGGTTTAAAAATACCTTGGTTTAAAAATCCCTTGGGTTAAAAACCCCTTGGTTTAAAAATCCCTTGGGTTAAAAATCCCTTGGGTTAAAAATAGCTTGGTTTAAAAATCCCTTGGCTTAAAAACCCCTGAAGTATATTATACCATGATGTGCAATTCTAATTCGCTATCTGTACTAATAATATTATTATCTTAACTATTTGTATATTGACCCAGCCGGGCTAGCCCGGTCAGTTCATTTTTACCTGTTTATAAATAAAGTAGTTGAATATCATTTGTTGATTAGAACGGACGTATACAGAGCCTTGAGTGTTGGCTAGAGATAGAGAGCCTTAAGTTTTGGCTAGAGATTTAGTTAAATATGATCTCATTAGACTTTGAGTAAAGTAATCGATAGAGAATTAGCGTCTAGATTTGTTACAAAAGTGGTGGCAGCGGTGGGATTTAAAATAACCCTAAATCTAGATGCCCGAGACCCCGAAATTATTTCGGAAGAAGATTAAAGTGAGAAACTTTTTTAACGGGTTAGCCAG